GCCTAAGGAAGCTCCTGCAGAGCCATCGGGAAAGCCTTAAGCCCAAGTCCACCAGCAAAGGACTCTCAGGCCTCCCAGGGACAGTTCTGCCTCAGTTTCCCAGCCATGCACACAGGCATTGGTGGGGAGCAGCCCGTGGGGGGCCATGGGATGGATTTCAAAGCCAGAGCTGCTCTGCTCTGGCCAATTGCACCTCCTGTAACAGGAGGTCTGCAAGGCCCATTCTCAGGGCTACCACAGGGTGTGACAGTAAGAAGCTGGGATTCGTATCCTTGAAAGAACACAGGCTTTGAAATTTACAAAGAAATACTGGGTTGCAACCCAGCTCACCACTGATTTGGGCAAGAAACCTAAGCCCATTGTAGTTTTGTCATCTGTACAAAGCCTGGGTCAGGTTATTGGGATGGAAGTGGAGTATCCATATGAGGTGCTCACTCAACGGCAGCCTTTATCTCCTCCTGTTTTGCCAGAGCCCAGTGGACCTAGGGTCCACCCCAAATGTGCTCCCTAAGGGAGGATGTGCAAGTCCACGGCTGACCCATTCCCTGGAATCACACCCAGCCCATCCTTCTCACCCCCACACCAAACGGGCCCAGAAATGGCACACAGTGAGCTGCAGAGGCTAAGCTGGCCTTCAAAACAGTCCAAGAAACACCCTGATAAATATCTCCTCCTGAGCCAAAGAGAAATATTTAGAAGAGGCTGCCAGCTGAAGCTGGGATGGCCACTTGTTACCTCCTCTGGGATCCAGCTTGTTTGAAAACTGGTCAGCCAGGCCAGGGCTATGGGCTGAGGCCCAGACAGGGAGGGAAGGAAGGAGGCGTCGCCTTGGACAAGCCTGCAAATCCCAAAGGTTGTAAATCCAGACGGCTGGGCGGGCTCCCACCCACCCAGCTCCACAGCACCGCTCCCCAAGAGGCACCCTCACCTGGAGTTTCTCTTGCCTCCGATGCCCATTGTCCAGAGCACTTCTTTCTCTCCTTCCCTCCCTCCTACTCTCTCTGGGTCTCTAAATTTCTTTCCTCTCTCCTCTTCTCTCCTCTTCTTTCCTCTTCTCTCCTCTTCTCTCCTCTCCTCTCCCCTCCCGTCCCCTCCACTCCCCTCCACTTCTCTTCTCTTCTCTTCTCTTCTCTTTTTTTCTCTTCTCTTCTCTTCTCTTCTCTTCTCTTCTCTTCTCTTCTCTTCTCTTCTCTTCTCTCTCTATTTCTCCTCTCTCTCTTTTTCTCTCTCTCATTTCTGTCCATCTTTTGACAATTTCTGGCTCCCAACTCTCTCTGTGTTCCCCCTCTCTCCATGCCTCCAAGTTTCCCATCTGTCCGAGGGCCTCAGTCCTCCCCATTTTTCTGGTTCTCATGTCCTCTTGCTCCCTCAGCCCATGTCTCTGCCTCTCTTTCCTCTTCTCCCACCATTTGGCCTCCAGGCCCAGCTCAGAGGCCTCTGTGGGGCCGTGTGCTGCCTTGGAATGCCTTCAAGCCACTGGGAGGAGCCGAGCCCTGGCAGTTCCATAGGAACCTCACGGGAGCCCCTCTTGCCCCCTCCTTCCTCCTCTGTGCAGGGAAGAGATGCCCAGCAGAGAGCATCCCAACACAGGGCATTCCAACCTCCTCCTCCCTCCCCTGCCCCTCTGTCCATGTCACTGCCTCTTCCAAACATCTTTCTATAGCCAGCCCTGAGAACTAATTGCCAGTTGTAGGCAAAACAAAGAAACTGGGACAAATTGGACTCACTTTTATACCAGAGAGTGGGGAATTAGCTTGATTAAACGCGGAATATTGATTCAGTAGAATAATTTAAAGACAAATCAGGGAGTAGGCAAGAGGAGCATCAATCTTCCTCACTGCCCCCTTACTCATCTTTTTTTTTTTCTTCTTCTTTATTTTATTGATTTTTTTACAGAGAGGAAAAGAGAGGGATAGAGAGTTAGAAACAACTATGAGAGACATCGATCAGCTGCTCCTGCACACCCCCCCACTGGGGATGTGCCCGCAACCAAGGTACATGCCCTTGACTGGAATCGAACCTGGGACCGTCAGTCTGCAGGCTGACGCTCTATCCACTGAGCCAAACCGGTCTCGGCCCCCCTTACTCATCTTAACCCGACAAACATTTCGGAAGCACTGACTGAGAGCTGAGCAGGGACTGGTGATGGGACGTGGTCCCCATAACAACCCCGGATACTGGCCAGGGAGACCCTAGCAGGCCTTCGGCTGGGGAAGGAGGCTTCCCAACAGGAAGAGGGGTGCGGTGGTGCCCACAGGGGAGACGTCCAAGCCAGGATCTCCGGCCCACAAGCTGTGACAGCCCCTGGGAAGGTTGGGGGCACTAGCCCCTGAAGCGTGAAAACAGGAACTACTGCTAAAGCTATAAGATAAAAGGGGGTGGGGACAAGTTGAGAGAAGAGAAGGGGGATGAGGGGATTCAGAGTTCAGCAACCCTCCTCTGACCTGAGATGCTCAAACCGGCCTCGCCATGGCACCTGCCGGACATCAGAATCAAAGCCTCACTTACAGCTGCCTCCCAGGCTGAGGCGTCTGTAAGTACAGGCCTTCTGTCAGGGGCCCTCCCCGCAGTGGAACTGGCTGCCACTGCGGACTACAATGGCCCGTGTGTTCCCTGGGGCCAGGACAGCGCCACAGACCCTAGGCCCCTCTGAGCCAGCGAGGAGGACATTCAGGCCCTGTGGATCCTATTTTTCTTTCTTCTTTCTTTCTTTTTTTCTTTCTTTCTTTTTGAATAAAAGAGATCTAATTGTCTGCCTTAGCTAGTTTGGCTCAGTGGATAAAGAATTGGACTGTGGACTGAAGGGTCCCAGGTTCAATTCCAGTCAAGGGCACCCAGGTTGTGGCTCAATCCCCAGTGTAGGGCCTGCAGGAGGCAGCCAATCAATGATTCCCTCTCGTCATTGATGTTTCTCTCTCTCTCCCTCTCCCTTCCTCTCCAAAATAAATGCAAATATATTTTTAAAAGATTTAATTTGCCTTATTTAACAATTCATGAATGGGGTAGCATCCCATCTAGTACATAAAAAGCTGCTTCTATTTTTGTTTCTTTGTTTCATTTCCTCTGCTCTCTAGTTTTCTGCAGACCCAGGGCCTACAAGAGATGCAGCATGGAGAGTAAAAAAATCGGTTCAGCCAAAACCGGTTTGGCTCAGTGGATAGAGCGTCAGTCTGAGGACTGAAAGGTCCCGGGTTCCATTCCGGTCAAGGGCATGTACCTTGATTGCAGGCACATCCCCAGTAGCAAGAGGGTATGCAAGAGGCAGCTGATCGATGATTCTTTCTCATCGATGTTTCTAACTCTCTATCCCTCTCTCTTCCTCTCTGTAAAAAAATAAATTAAAAATACATATTTAAAAATAATAATAATAATAAAAGGTTCAGCCCCCACCACTAGAGGGCAACCAAGCACAGAAACAGGGAAACCTGGAGAAAGTAGGAAAAGCACCCAACCTCCCACCCTGGAATGATGGGTTCACTCTGAAGTAACGGCGGAGGAGTGGGACGGCAGGGGCTCCAAGTCGGGATCCTTCCCTCCTCCACCGAATGTCGTTTATTACCCCACCGCCACCGCTGCCCCGTGGGCCTGCAACACGGCCAGCCCCGAGGGCTTAGGGCGGAGACGGGTGCGGGGCAGCTGCTGTAAAGACTGGAAAGAGGCTCCGGTGATGGTAGGAGCCCTGGACCCAGAGTCGGGAGAGCTGGCTGCGACTCCAGCTACTCTCCACGTGACCTTTCCTTCGCCGCCTGCGAGGGTTTGTTTTCCATCTGTAAACAAAGCGGGTGGGGAGACGCGGTGGTACCCAAGCGCCCTTCAGGCTCTGACCTCAGACCTGCCCCACCCGCCTCTCGGGATTCCGGAGACCGCAAGGTGTAGGGGCTGCACACAACCGCTGTTTGCTCCCGCGCAGGGTCCCGGGAGGGGGCACTCTCGCCCCCTCGAGCCCCACTACCCACCCAAATACCCTGCCCGGGTCTTCCACTGCTGGCTCAGGCACCTCCCCACCCGCCGCCAAAAAGGGCACGGAGTCGTGGGGTTCTCCGGGGTGGAGAGAGGGCGATGACCCTGACCTTAGCCTCCCGGAAAAGCGCCCTCTCCATCCTCACTGCGCCCACTTTCCTCCCCAGCGGCTTCAACTCCACCCCGGCCGTCGGACCCCCCACCCCCCACCCCACTCCGCCCCGGCGCTGGCGAGCGGAACAGGGAGGCAGGGCTGCTCCGGGCCGGGTGCGGGTCCACCGGGGAGGGGGGAAAGGGGGGAGGCGAGCCATGGATCGGACAGGGGGACGAGACCTCGTTCCCCTAAGCGACGCTTGTGGAGTCCCCTTCACTGGGGGGATCCCCGCTCCCTCCCCGCACCCCACCCTTCCCAGTCCTGTGAGCTTGGGCCCTGAAGGTTCAAGAAAGTCAAGAACCTGGGAGAGATGCACTGTGCAAATATATGGACTTTATTCGTCTCCGTTCGGGAGCCTCACAGACATATCCAGGTAAAAAGAAGACCGTTCAGTGAACGCCGCCAGCCATCGCCATCGCAATGCAAAAATAAATATCCGTCCTCCGGCCACGGCGGCGGCCGCGCTGCACCCCGAGTCCCCGCGGTTATAAAAGTGTGCAGCGAGCGGAGGGGGCGTGAGTGGGAGCCGGTGCGCGGGGGGCAGGCGTGGAGCGGGGAGCGCAATGGGAGCTGCAGCCCCTCGGCCCGGGGCGCGGGGCGGCTCTCCCTCCGGGGAGCTCCCGCACACACTCACTCACAGCAGAGTCCGAGCTGGGCAGAGTTTAAAAATAAACATGTACACGGGCGGAGAAGCGGCCCCCGGCGCGCTCGGACCCAGGATGCGCGCAGCCCGAGGCGCACCGGACAGTTCTGTTTGGCGGGAGTCCCAACGCGAGCTCGCGGGGGGCGGTGGTCCCGGGTCCGGGGGGATCCCCGGGGGTCCCCGGGGCGCGGGCCCTCCCGGGGTTCGCACGCTGGTCCCCGGCGGACCCCGGAGGCGGCGGCCTCACAGGGCCGAGTCGGAGTCGCTGGAGTCCAGGCTGTTCCTCAGTTTGCAGCTGCCGAGCTGCTCGCGCTGCAGCGACAGGCTCTGCGTGCTGCGGCGCAGGCACTCCAGGCTCTGCAGGAAGGACTTCTTGGCCTTCTCCTCCTCCATGGGCGACACCCCCTCCTCCTCCACCTCCTGGATCTCGTCGAAGGTCACCGGCTGCGTCTTGAAGCGGGACTGGCGCGGCCGCCGGAGCCGGCCCTTGCCCTTGGGCAGCTTGGCGGGCCGCACGGGCTGCGGGAACGCGTCGGCCAGGCACACGAAGTGGGGCATCACCGCCTGGTAGCTGGAGCAGATGCCCATCAGCTCGCCGGGCTTGGCGGCCGCCATGGCGCTGCCGGCGGCGTCCTCGGGGCCGGGCGGCGGCGGCGGGGCGGCGGCGGGGCTGTCGGGGAGCGGCCGCTGCGCCGCCGGGGCCCCCCGGGAGGCAGCCGCCTGGGGCTCGCCGGGCGGCGGATCCAAATCTGCTGCGGGGCGGCGGCGGCCCTGGCGGGCCCGGGGCGGCGCGGCTCGGGAGGGCGGGCGAGGGCCCGTCGGGGACACGCGGCGCGGGGGGCGCCGCTGCTCAGCCGCTGCGATCCGAGGCGCCGGCCGCTTCCGCGCGTCTGCCCCGCGGCGTCCGCCGCCGCTTATATAGCGGCTCCTGCCCACACGGCCGGCGCGGATGACAGCCGATGCCATTTACAGCGTGCGCGCCCCGCGCCCTCCGCCTGGCGCCGCCCGCCGCGCTGGGGAAGGAACAGCCCCTTCCCGGAGCCCCCCGCCCTCCCCCCTCCGGCCGCTCCGTGAGGCGGGCCCCGCCCGCGGGGATGCCGGAGCCTCGGGGCGGCCGGGAGCGGGGGTCCCGGGATGTTACTATGGGTGCTGGGATCCCCAAGTCTGTAGGTCCCCCTTCCCTGCGCTCGATCTCTGAGGCTCACATTCAGGGCGCCGGCTGTCCTGCCGCAGGGTCTGCGCGGGGCAGTGGCAGCTCCCGGCTGTCCTCACGGCGGGCAGAGCCAGGACAGGGCTCCCCAGAACTGAGTTTCTTCTCTGGATCCTTGTTCTTCTCCCCTCACTACAGTTTCTCACCACCACCACCACCACCACCACCACCACCACCACCACCACCACACACAGGCATGCTTGAATACAGTCACAACCTATTATTCCATTATTCCATTCTGGTTCTTCTGTTGCCTCTATGTCTTCTCTATGTTTATCCCCTCATTACCCCACCCTCTTCAAGTCCCTCGGCACCCCCCTTCATGCTTAGAAGAATGACACTTGGATATGCCACTAACAACAACACCAACACAACAACAACTACCATCTGGAGAGTTGTACTCCAAGCCAGCCAGGGAGCTTTGGGTTACGCATGCGGTGTTACCCTATTTGATCTTCATAACGGTGAGGTAATCGGTATTCTCCCAATTTTACACATGAGGTATGGTAGGCACAGAGAGGATAAGTAACTGAGGGGCCCAGCGGGGCCAACTCCAGAGTGCACGATCTGTAGCAGCCAGCCGAGGGTGAGACCCCAGTGCCCCTGGGCTTCTGAGACAGGTCCTCTGTCCGATGTCCCAACTCCCAGCGCAAACCAGCAGTGTCTTGCAGAGCTGTGGGCCTGCGGGCCGGAGCAGTGCCCCCTACCGGCTCCCAGAAAGGAAACTGGAAACCCAGGGAACCAATGGGATTGGGCCTCTATTCCTTCCATAGCCATTCAACAAAGATGTATTGAGAACCTACTGTGTGCCCGCTCAGGAATGTGCTGCCCTCTGGAAGTTGCATTGGGGGCAGGGAGGGTGGTGGTGGAGGGGGGGCACAGACAATAAATGGGAAACAAAAACATGCACTGGGGGCGGGGTGATAGGATGCAGATCCAGCCTGTGCGGAGGGTGGCCAGGAAGGCTTCTCAGAGTGGGTGACACCCGAAGGCCTGCAGGACAACAGTATCAGTACCAGGGACTCAGTGTGTGCCCTGCTCTGGAGTACCTTTGATGCATGAACTCATCTAGTGTGTTAACTACTGCACTTATCCTCTCAGCAACCCTGGGTGACAAGTACTTGTAGTGTCGCCATTGACAGACAGGAAAACCAAGGCACAGAGAGGTTAAGCCCCTTGCCCCAGGCCACAGAGCTAGTAACCAGCAGAGCTGAAGTTCCCACTTGGCTCCTAAGCCACTTCGTGTCCACTGCACTGCGTCCATGTGTCCGGTGGAGAACAAAGAAGGACCCAGTGTGCCCCACTTCGGGGGGGAGGGGGGAGCATTGGGGCAGAGGGAACCAACCCTAGTGCGAAGGCCCCATGGCAGGAACGAGCTGGGCTTCTCCGGGAACTTCAGGAAGGCCGAGGAGGGTTGAAGTATTTTATTCTAGGGGCTGTGGTGAGGCATGGGGTTTTGAGCAGGGGCGCTGCACAGTGTCTGGTTTTCAGAGCTCACTGTGGCCGCCATGTGGAGAGCAGAGTGGAAAGGAACTGGGGGGAGGGGGAAGGGGTAGAAGCAGGAAGTGTGCTGAGAGGCTCAACCCTTCTCCCTCTACCCCCCTTTCCTTCCTATCCTGTTTAACTACAATCTAAAAGGCTTCTCATCTGCTTGTTCCCATCCCTTGTCTGCCTTCCCACTGGCCTACAGTTAGCAGCCATTGCCTTTCCCAGCAGGAGTCTGAAGGCCTGCGGAGTGTGCCACCACCACCCTGCTCCCCCAGCGCCTGGTTCCACCACAGCTTCCTTTCCAACCCATGCAGCTCCTCTGGACCTCAAACTCCCAGGCTGGGGGCTGGGGTACCATAGGCTAGCGGTCGCTAACTGGTGGCCCATGGGGTCTGAAAGGTTGGCGACCGCTGCCCTAGGCCACTCCTGTCAGCTTCCCTGTCCAGATGCCTGGTCCCACTGGTCCCACTGCTGACCCTTCCCATCCATGGCTTCTCCCCCTCAGGATGCCTCATGGACCAGCCCCATACTTAGTAGCCTTTTCACACTGTTCTGTGCCCTCTGGAAGGCTGCCATCGGGTTAGAACCCAGACCAGATTCTAACCCTGCTCTGCCACAGGCTCCTTCTGGGACTCGGGACAGGTCTTGCTCTCTGAGACTCAGTTTCTGCTCCTCAGAGCACAAGTAATGCCCTGGAAGCCAGCGATCGCCGTATGGAAAGCTCCTGGTGTAGTGCCAGCATGTCTTGGGCATGAGGCACACCGTCCTTTTGTTTTCATTGTCTCATACCCATCCTGCCCAGCCCCCACGTGGCTGAGATGCCCGGGGAAAGTGCTCCAGAGGGCATCTGGGCTCTGGTGCTTAACCCTCTGCCTGACTCAGTGTCAGGGCGGGAGCCAGACAGAGCAATGTCTCCAGGCATGGGATTCCCAGGAACCAGTGCCCATAGGTGGTCCTAGGGGGCTTCTGGGGAATACCAGCCTCTTTCAACAGACCCCCCTCCCACGTGACAGGGGGGATGGGCAGATCTGGGGCGGGGGGTCCACAGCCTCCCCAGGTATCAGGTTCTGTTGACCTCTGGCCTTCTGATTCGCAGGGTCAGTGCTGGGTTTTCCAGGACAGGCTAAGTGGCCTTTCTTGGCCATTTTGGGGCAGGGGGTGGCTATTAAAGGGGGTGCAGGACAGTCCCTCTTCTCACCAGGCCCGTGTCCCTGGGATGACCAAGGAGGGACACAGAAATGTCAGCTGTTGAGCACCTATGTGCCTGGCACTGTGCCAGTGATGCTTGGCATGTGCCTCACCTGATCATCCTCATGGCATTCTCGGAGGGGTAGCATCAGCTCTGTTTTAGAAATGAGGACTCGGGGTGCTCTGTAGCCCACCAGGGTCCCCCTCAGTGCCAGTGCTGATGCTCACAGCTGTCTGCCTGACCCCGACACCCATGCTCTGTACACGGACCACCCGTCTCGCCATCCCTCTGAAGTGAGGGAAATAGCCGGGACGAGATAGAGGTCAGACCCCCAGGTTCCGTCACCCGCATGTGCTGTGGCCTCGACCCAGATGCTTCCCATCTCTGAGCCTCAGTCTCCTGACCTGTGAAGTAAGGAGACCAGGCTCTGATTTACTGGGGGCCCCTCCTCTCTGACATTCTAGAATGCTCAGAAGGATGCAGGGATGAGGGGACCCATTCACAGGAAGTAGATGCTTCCCCTTGGGCCGGAGAGTGGCAAGCAGCCTGGCGAAGGCTGCGGGGGAGCCTTGTCTCCGTGGAGGGGCTGCTGGGGGAGCAGATGGGGCAGGAAGATGGCAGCTGGCCAGGGAGGCCTGTGCCTCCACCTCCTCCACCATCCCCACCCACACTTTGGCTTTTGGGCAGAGCCAGGGTTTTAAAAAAAGCAACTCCAGTTCTTCTGCTATCAGCAGGCTTTGTTTCCAAGGGAGCCTGCGGGGCACACGCCTGGTGGGCAGGAGCAGGGATGCCCAGTCCGTCCGGGATGCAGATGGGCAGCCACAAAGCCAAGTGGGAGAGCCCTCGGGCAGTGCTCCTTTGCTTTTCTGGGAGGCTTAAGGGTGGCAGGGAGAGGAGAGGGGAACAAGTAGGCTAGGCTCTTTGCTGTGGCTGCTCTGCCACCCTGGCCCTGACCAACTGCCAGCTAGACACCTTGATCAGCTCCTATCCCCTCACACTCTCCCAGAAGCCTCTCCAGAGGGCTGCCAGGCCTCCGAGTGCTGAGTGAGGTGGTGGTTACTCTTGGCCTTGCTGTTCCGGTCAGTTTGCACACCTGTGCATTCAGGTGTGGGGGGTGGGATGAGGGGCGGTGAACGGTGGTTGGCAAACAAGGCCCATGGCAGGCAAGTGACAAGGCCTGTCCGGTGTCCTGCCTCTGGCTCCACCCTCACCCCCGCGGGAGCCCAGCCCAGCCCAGCCCTCGGCGGGCTTTCCACACAAAGCCAGTGATTTCAGCGTCCCACCAACTGCTTCTGTCTCACTCAGAATTACCACTTCGTCTGGTATGATTGTGAGCAAAGTGTTTTGATAATTTTGCTGGAGGGTTGCCATGACAATCTCCAGCGAGCTCCAAGAGGGGTGTCAGTATGTGCTCAGGAGGTAGACAGAGGAAGAGAGTCCGAGAGACTCAGGCGGGGAGAGACTAGGAAGGGAGGGGATCAGGGAGAACCCCAGTGACAGTTCCAAGTCAGACCTTCAGCCTTCATGGCCCCCATCCTGAGGGGAGGGGATGGGGGGCCATTGATGCCGCAATGAGCTCATGGTCTAATCTCGGCCTCACTGTAGGCCCTGTAATGGGACACCAGCTGCGGAGGGCAAGCTGCCATAGCTGCCATTCCCAGGATGAGCCCCAGGAACACCAGAATGGAGTGGGGGCAGGGAGGTTCCTGGGGACTCAGAGGGAGCCAGAGCCCCTCCTAAGAATCACCCCAGTCCATGGGCCTGGCTATGCTGCTGGGAATACCAGGAGCACATTTCCCAGCCACGACCTGCTTCCTGGCACAGTGTCAGCAGCCTGGGTCTGTGCTCAGTCCTCCCTGCACGCTTTCTTGCAAACCGAAGGGTCTCTCTCCTGGGATGACCGGTCTGAGAATCACTAAGGACAAGGCTAGAACCCTGCACAGTCTGTGGCCCTAGAGCTTTGCAAAAATAGTTCCCTCTCTGTGACTTCCACAAAGCAGGACTATCTGCTGTCTTTTGAGACGAGGACAGAAAGGCCCAGAGAGGGGAGGGAACGAGATCAAGGTCACACAGCAAGGC